ATACAATATTTTGACTGACTAACTTTGTCTTTAAGAAAAGTATATATATATAGTATATATTAAATATGCACGGAAATTGGGAGGGGGATATAAAAGAAGTTAACTAAAGGTGGGTGGGGCTGGAAGGACGAAGATTGAGCGATGGAGTATAAAAGAAGTGAATTAGAAGTGAGTATGGCTTGTTTGACGGAGAAGTTAATTAAAGGTGGGTTGGGCTAGAAGGACGAAGATTGGGCGATGGAGTATAAGTGACTTGAATTAGAAGTGAGTAGAACTTGTATGACAGAGATTGTGAAAAGGAGTAAAAGCGTAGTGAATAGAGGTGGTTTGGGCTGGTAGTACGGTGTTTGGGAGAGGTTGTGTAAGAGAAGTGAACTGGGGTGGTTTGGGCTGGTATGATGGATATTAGGAGAGAGTATAAGGGAAGTGAATAAGAGGTATAGTTTGGGCTGGTGTAGGACGGAGATTGGGAGATGGAGTCTTAGCGAAGTGAATTAGAGGTAGCTTTGGCTGAAAGGACAGATATTGGGAGAGGGAGTATAAGAAAAATGAATTAGAAGTAAGAAGGGCTTGTATGGCAGAGATTAGAACAAGGAGTATAAGAGAAGTGAATTAGAGTCTGGTAGGACAGATATTGGGAGGGGGAGTATAAGAGAAGTAAATTAGACGTAGTTTTGGCTGGTAGGACATATATTGGGAGAGCTAGTATAAGATAAGAGAATTAAAGGTAGTTTTAGCTGGTAGGACAGATATTGGGAGAGGGAGTATAAGAGAAGTGAATTATAGGTAGTGTTGGCTGGTAGGACAGATATTGGAAGAGGGAGTATAAGAAAAATGAATTAGAAGTAAGAAGGGCTTGTATGGCAGAGATTAGAACAAGGAGTATAAGAGAAGTGAATTAGAGTCTGGTAGGACAGATATTGGGAGGGGGAGTATAAGAGAAGTAAATTAGACGTAGTTTTGGCTGGTAGGACATATATTGGGAGAGCTAGTATAAGATAAGAGAATTAAAGGTAGTTTTAGCTGGTAGGACAGATATTGGGAGAGGGAGTATAAGAGAAGTGAATTATAGGTAGTTTTGGCTGGTAGGACAGATATTGGAAGAGGGAGTATAAGAAAAATGAATTAGAAGTAAGAAGGGCTTGTTTGGCGGAGATTAGGACAAGGAGCATTAGAGAAGTGAATTAGAGGCTGGTAAGACAGATATTTGCAGAGAGTATAAGAGAAATGAATTAGAAGTAAGAAGGGCTTGTAAGGCAGAGATTAGGACAAGGAGTATCAGAGAAGTGAATTGGAGGTAATTTTGGCTGTAGGACAGATATTGGGAGAGGGAGTATAAGAGAATGAATTTGAAGTATGAATGGCTTATATAGCGGAGATTGGGACAGGGAATATAAGCGACGTGAATTATAGGTAGTTTTGGCTGGTATGACAGATATTGGGAGAGGGAGTCTAAGAGGAATGAATTAGGAGTAAAAAAGGGCTTGTATGGCAGAGATTGGGACAGGGAGTATAAACGACGTGAATTAGATGTGGTTTTGGCTGCTAGGACAGATATTGGGAGAGGGAGTATAAGAGAAATGAATAAGAAGTAAAAAGGGTTTGTATGGCAGAGATTGGGACAGGGAGAATTCGAGAAGTGAATAAGAGGCTGGTAGGACAAATATTGGGAGAGGGAGTATAATAAAAGAAAATTACACGCAGTTTTTGCTGGTAGGACAGATATTGGGAGAGGGAGTATAAGAGAAGTGAATTAGAGGTAGTTTTGGCTGGTAGGACATATTTTGGGAGAGGGAGTATAAGAAAAATGAATTAGAAGTAAGAAGGGCTTGTTTGGCGGAGATTAGGACAAGGAGTATTAGAGAAGTGAATTAGAGGCTGTTAACAGATATTTGGGAGAGGGAGTATAAGAAAAATGAATTAGAAGTAAAAAAGGCTTGTAATGCGGAGATTAGGACAAGGAGTATTAGAGAAATGAATTAGACGTCGTTCTGGCTGGCAAGACAGATATTTGGAGAGAGAGTATAATAGAAATGAATTAGAAGAAAGAATGGCTTGTAAGACGGAGATTAGGACAAAAAGTATTAGAGAAGTGAATTAGACGTAGTTTTGGCTGGTATGACATATATTGAGAGAAGGAGTATAAGAGAAATGTATTAGAAGTAAGAAAGGGCTTGTAAGGCGGAGATTAGGACAATGAGTATTTGAGAAGTGAATTAGAGGTAGTTTTGGCTTGTAGGACAGATATTGGGAGAGGGAGTATTAGAGAAATGAATTAGATGTGGTTTTGGCTTGTAGGTCAGACATTGGGAGAGGGAGTAAAAGAGAAATGAATTAGAAGTAGGAAGGGCTTGTAAGGCGGAAATTAGGACAAGGAGTACTAGAGAAGTGAAGTAGAGGTAGCTTTGGCTGGTAGGATAGATATTGGGAAAGGGAGTATTAGAGAAATGAATTAGAAGTGAGAAGGGCTTGTATGGCGGAGATTGGGACAGGGAATATAAGAGACGTACGTGAATTAGAGGTGGGTTGAGCTGGTATTACAGATATTGGGAGAAGGAGTATAAGAGAAATGAATTAGAAGTGATAAGGACTTGTATGGCGGAGATTTGGACAGGTAGTATAAGAAAAGTGAATGAGGAGAGTTTTGGCTGGTAGGACAGATATTAGAAGAGGGAGTATGAGAGAAACTAATGAGACGTGGTTTGGGTTGGTAGGACGAAGATTGGGAGAGGGATTACATGTATAAGAGAAGTAAATAAGGTCGGTTGGGCAAGAACTCTAGGACGGAGATCGGGTGATCGATCATAAGAGAAATGAACATCGACCACAACTAAGTATAAAAAATAATGTTTCGTTTAGTGACAAACAGCATGAAAAAAAAAAAAAAAGAAAATGTGATGCATTGAAAGAATCATTGGATACAATGTTTTTGTATTAATTCAATATCTATATGTCTATCTCCAAAACATGCCGTATCGACTAGCGTAAGTTGATTAGCTGTCTGCATGGCAGTTAAATCAGATTACTTTAACAAAACTCTATCTCCAAAATATTTATCTAATTTCCTTGTTGCACATCGTAGTTGCACATTTAATGCATTGTTTATATGCAACGAGACGAGCATTTTACTTTGATGATTATTTACATAAGGAAACGTTGACAACCATAAAGACTACTTCATCAAAACAATACATGTTAATAGATGAAATAATTGCATTACAAGGGCGAGAAAAGACTAAAAAAAGTTTGATTGATGAATGGAGAGTATAAGTTGGATAATTTGAACATTTGTCATTTGTTTTAAAATTAAGAAAAGTGTTGTTATTTATATCTAATGTGAACATCAAGCAAGGTAAGGCGTATTTTTCTATTATTTCTATGATAAATTCAATTAATTTGGATTAGAAATGGAATGTAAATTAGAGGCTACACTGAGCATGCGTCGCAATTTTATGGTTTTGATATTTTTTTTATCCTTCTGTCAAAACCGTGCATTTTCAACCATCCAGTAAATAGTTGCCATGAACTTTAAAGAAAACAATTACTTAGTATGTTTAAGCCTATAAATGGATAACTGATTTGGCTTATTCAAAATAAGTTATCTAATTTTCTCTCTTTACATTTTACGAACAAAAGGAATGAGGGTAAAACATAAATGAGACAACAACAAAACGACACCAAAACCTATCCAAAGCTTTTTGAATATACAGTCCTCAACTACAGATAGGTGTCCATGCAAACTCTAAATCGCCCTGAACCTGAATCAATAATTGTGAATATTTAACTGAGACTATCAAACACCAATTCAACATTAATTCCTAAAATGTAAAAAAAAAAAAAAAAACAACGAGCAAACAAAAAACAGTAGGTATGTCAATAGTAAAACCTTGACTAGGTTCCTGACTTTTGGCGTCACATGAACGTATGGCGGAGTTCTTTCAAACCTGCATGATCCTGCTTAGAAAACAATGAAATAATAGCTCATATATATTTGTTAATCTCAGTATTTTTACATTTGTTATATTATTTGATTTTATAAAAAAGATAAAAAGCAAGTTGTAATTAAGTTTTCTTTTGCGTGGAAGAATATACAAAATATTGGTTTTACACTATAGAGGAAAAAATATAGGATGATTTAATCTTAACATTATGTTGTCCAAAAATAATAACAGTTAAGAGTTTTAGTCAACAGCGATCAATAAAAAGCTGAAAGAGTACAGAGAAAATCACTTTTGCATCTATGGACTATGAATTAACATCCATCTTTTTTTTTTCAAAAAAGCAAGTTGTAATTAAGTTTTCTTTTGCGTGGAAGAATATAAAAAATATTGGTTTTACACGATAGAGTAAAAAATATAGAGTGATTTAATCTTAACATTATGTTGTCCAAAATAATAATAACAGTTAATAGTTTTAGTCAACAGCGATCAATAAAAAGCTGTACAGAGAAAATCACTTTTTGAGTAAACATCCATCTTTTTCTTCATTTTTTTACGGTTCGTTTTTCAAATTGTTTGTTTGTTTATTTCTTGTCAAAGCAAAAACTTGCTTAGGTATACGGTATCGCATAAATATAATGTACTTTATATTGTTTGTTTTGAGCAAATTCAGTATTTTTGTTAATTATTTACTTTTATTCTTGTATTGTCCTCACGAAGTGTGTTTCTTTGCCATTGTATTTTGGTTTACAAGAATGAAGATATAATTATATTACTTTGATGGTACTTTGGAACATTGCTTCGGTGCGTTAAACAATTCTTCTTCTTTTTTTGTTTTTTTTTACCAGATAATTTTCCGAGTCGAGAAAACATGCCAATGAAAATGTATTACTTTTCAGCACTACATACATAATGTAGCAGAAAAATGTATCTGGAAAAATGATATATACTGACTAATTTGTCTTCATCATAGAAAACGATAAACCTCGTGTCATTAATCAAAATATGATTCCTTTAAGGTTGTAAAAGCATAGTAACAAATGTTCTTCGTTTCTTTTTCAGTGTATTTCTAATATTTACTATGGATGTATTTGAAGTGCTTACTTTTTTCCTCTTCTTCTGTGTGGTTTTATCTGAATTTCATTGTCCAAAACAGTTGCAGACGGCAGGTTGCTCGTGCAAGCAATTAATATGGTGGAATAATGACAACAAAACAATAGTCAATTGCAGCATGGCAAATTTACAAACAGTTCCTGATTTTAAAGTTTTGAATACGTATGAAATTACGCATCTTATTTTAAGCAATAATAACATTTCGGAAATGACGTCTGGAGATTTTACTGACTTAATCATAAAGGAAATGGACATCAGTGCAAATCCTATCGTTACTTTTGATACAGTTTCTTCCATATTACCAAGACATTTAAATTCACTAATAGCAAAGAAAAGTAAAATTTCGTTGGATAAAGATCTCACGTTTTTCAGAGGATTAGAAAACCTAACTGAACTCATCCTCGACAATAATGTTTTGGAGAATAAAAACCAGACACTTCCAGGAAATATTTTTGAGGATTTGAATCTAAAGTCATTGAAAAAGCTTAGTCTACAAAGTTGTGAAATTGGTGGAATTCATTCAAAAGCTTTCGTTGGATTAAGACAACTCGAAGAGCTAGATTTGAGTTATAATTACTTAGAGGAAGTTCCGGAAGCAATTAAAAGTCTTCAACATTTAAAGAAGTTAATTTTATTGGGAAATAATGTTATGCATTTAAAAGCTAATACATTTCATGGATTACAACACCTACAAGATTTGAATCTTAATGTGAATGAGATATCTAAAATTGACGTACATGCTTTTTCTGGACTAGAACATTCCCTAAAAGATATAAGACTTCATTATAACAATTTGAACACTATTCCATACGAGGCATTACGAAAATTGAAAAACTTGTCGTTCCTAGTCTTATCTAGAAATAATATCACATTGATTCCAAGAGATGCTTTCGTTGGAGTGACAAATCTAAGAATATTGGAATTGGATAGTAATACACTTACATATTACAATGAAATGTTTAATGGATTGGAAAATTCTCTGGAAACTCTGACATTGCGCGAAACGGGACTTCTGGTTCTTCCGGTACGATCGTTATTGTTCTTGAAACGCTTGACCGACCTGGATGTGTCACATAATAAGATTAATAGCTTGTCATATGGGGATATTGGAAAACTGAAGTTGAAAACTGTTGATCTGAGTCATAATGATTTGACTCAAATCCACCCTGATACATTTATTGGAATAAGTCGGACAATCGGACTTGATTTAGATAATAATAAGCTTTCAAATTTATCGTTTGTATTGCATGTTACTCCGTGTGCATTTAGTTATATTGATGTCAGCGGAAATGACGTCATATGTGATTGTGACACAGAGAAAATAATAAATAGTGGAATTGTGTTAGGTGTTGGGCCAACTGGCATTTGTAGAATAGGAGATGATCTTTTGAACCATAAATACAAATTAGGAACAACAGCGTTATCTAGAGAACTCGAAGATCGTTGTAATAGAACCGAACGCGTATTTGATTGCCAAACCATGGAGCTTCGAGCAAGCGCTGCATCATTATTTGCAAAATCTTTAAATTTAGTTTTTACATGTACAATATTCTGTTATTTTGTATACATGTACAGGTGAAATTCATGTGAGCAAAATTGTGAATAGATATCTTACTTACCATCAGTCGGCATGACATTATTATGTTGATACGGTAACGGGACAGGATGCAGACAGTCCTTACCGTAAACAAACATTCCTTAAAGTTCAATTTACCTGGATTTTAACTCTTCCAGTGTGCATAAAACTACCTATGACTACATGGTTCTTGCATCGCGATTTCTTTTAGACATGAGGATAACATAAAAAGAAAGATGTTCTTCAAGAACACACAATATTTAGACTGAAATCTATGCAGAGTTTTACTTAGTAGAGTTGTTAAATAATAAATGTGTTAGAATTTTGCTTTTGGATCAGTCCTAATGAAGTAACGATTCAACACAGTATAGAACGATTATTAAAATAGGCTAGTAAATATCTTTGTGGATACCCATTTTTTCCAAGATAAACGTGGTGTGATGTCTTATAATTACAAATTGGTAAACGTTTGTAAGTTGTTGTCCAAAAATTAAAGTTGTACTGTTATTAATAAATCAGATAAGACATACATGTATCTAGGCTGGGGTCTTGCGCAATATCTGCAGCGGCCTTACAGTTTAATTATATATATATATTTTTTTATTAAAGATGGAAATTTAAAACGAATTCACAGCCCCGATTACCGGATGAGGTAAGGGTATATCTGCTAGATTCGTTTTTTATGTCCCCCTCCCGCTCCCATGTATGGCATAGGAAACAATTAGTCCTGAATATTTCCTAAAACAATACTGTTAAAAGTTATATCCAACATAAAAAATGGTATGAAATTCATTATTACATGTATAACAAAACACGTGATTTCCGTATTGCGTATTCCACACATGGATTCACATATATTCTAAGTGAATTAAAGAATTTTGAACATCGATAAACCACTGATATACACAATATTCGGGGTTTTTTCATTCTCGTACAAGATCTAGAGTAACAACTTACATATAAGAATTGTATAATATGGAGTAAATCTCTAGAGTGTTGTGGTATAACTTTATAGATATGACCTCAACAACCTATTTTCTGTCTGACAAGTTTACCAAATGAATTGTAATATACCAAACTGTATATTGAAGTGGTATTTCAGTGAATAAGTACCACCTTTGTTCAAACTTCTATTAATTTTTTGTCTATACTAATATAAATGATACGGAAAACAAATTATTCAATATGAGATAGAGAAAAATACTCAAAAGTCTTCAATGATTGCACATCCATAACTACAATTTCCATTGACAATTTAATTTAAGTACCCATGGA